AGTTGGAAGGACAGCGGTTTTAAAATAAGCTCGCGCTCGAGTCTGAGCGCTGTGCCAATGCCTATCGGAGCGAGCAGTCGGTGCGCGCTCTCCCTTTCAGCAGTCGTTGATCGTGCACCGTCCTCGCAACAACCGTGCTACTGCCACTTGTCCTCATCGTCGCTCTATACGACGGTTCTCGAGTCGGTCGGTCTTCGTTGCTCGACGGTACGGTAGGAGCGTAGAGGAGGCGTTAATAGTCGCGATTAATTACACGCCGGTGCATATGTACGATTACACGATTGTCTCTCTCTCTCTCTCTCTCTCTCTCTCTCTCTTTCTCTATACAGTTTTATTTCTATCGCTTACTCGTGCGATTCAATTAATTGATTGATTAATATAGTCGAGGTTGGTTAGCGTGTTACAGTTACGATATATATATATATATAGGGTATCGTAGAGAGTGTATATACCGTAAGAGGGAGGAGGGGAGGGAAGATCGGAATACAGTTGGATGGATTGAATTCGATCGAGCATTGTGTTTGTGTGCCAGGTGACACGTGGTGCCGGTCGGCCGGTGGTGATGTATTATTGGCTTCCACGCGGATGATTTATTGCAGAGTTCACGGATACGCGGTGTGTATATACGAGTATATCGCGTAGTTCACGTTTGACACCTCGGCCGTCCTCACGGCTGTGCCCGGTGTGCGTGCGATATAAGGTTACGGAGAAGGTGATTTTCCTTGAAGGGATACTCCCGTGTCAACTGCGTACAACAGCGGCAATCGTGGAAAAATAACGAGTAATCGAACGGTATGTTATGAATTTGTTTGGAAACGTTTGGGTTTTGGTAATTTGGTCGGATGGAAGTATTCGGTTAGCTCGTTGGATATATTTTTACGATGGAAAATTGTGGCGAATCGACGAAGAAAGGGAAAGTAGCTCGAAGTTTATTTATTTTTTGAGGAAATTAGCGGAGAACAAGCACATGCGAGAGTGTTTATGTAAGTTTTTTTCAATTGAGAAAGTGAAATAAGTAGAAATATAATTGTATGCGAAGGAGACTTGATTTATTTATTAATTTTCTATTATTTTACATATTTGGAAAACTATTCTATTTTTAATTGTATTTTATTACAATAAAATTTCACAACTTGGAACTTCTTTTTTGCTCTAGAAATTATTGCCTTAAGTGGGAAGAAACGTATTATGGCAGTAAGTATGGTTGTGGAATAAACGAGATACAAAAAAAAAACTGAAATTGATACGCATGTGCTTGTTCACTACAGTTCACGATGATATAGCACAATAACGTGAAAATATGTTAGGAAATGAATACGAAATACTTTGGTGATACTTTTATTGTAAACTGTATAGTTATACTTTTATTGTAATCTGTATGTATGTAGTTTTGAAGATAATTAAATGATAAAACTAATAAAGATGCGACTATGATCGTTTTTTTACGAGCGTATTAAGATTTATTGATCGTTCTACACGAAAGAGGCTGTGGTAAAACTTAATTTGATCCGAAGTTTGTTTATTCAAAATTTTATTAAACGCTCGAAATAAATGAATAGCTACTAATGATTTTATGAACTTGAAAAGAAGAAAATTTCAGTACAGCATGGTAGAAGAAGAATCGACATCGAATTATAAATTATTTGTATTCTTGTTTGTAAGTCGCCAGACATTCGCTAATTTTAAAACGTAATAGTTATTAATTTCTTCAGGGACAAATTTATCGAGGTCAGGAGAGGATATGTTTATTGTCGTGTCATTTATCTTATTTTTCAATTCATCGTTATCAAATATTGAGATATTATTATACGTGTATTGGAAAATATTTTGGAAAGTTTGAGAAAAGTAATATACGCGTATTTATGTAAATATTGTACTTTGTATTATATCTTCGTATCTTTTCGCAAAACAGTCTTGAATTAAACGAAAAATAAACGTGCATACACACGTATATCTTTCGAAAGATTAAAATAGATTCAGGTATAATAAAATGTTTAAAACATACTATAGTTTCTCTTATAATAAAGATGACTAATAAACGTCAACTTTATGTTGTAACCATAAAATTTATTTATTCATATTTCAAACTAAATAAATATCTGTTGACTATGAATATTAGAGTATATATGATACATTGTAGGTATGGCCGAACTTAATAATTTTTCAATAATTTCTTTTTTTATTTTATCAAATTGATCTATCGATCCAGAGAACAAATATATTTCAAACAGATCTCCCCATTTTTTTTACCATATGCGAATTCGTAATTCACTTCTCTTCAAATACTATAAGTTGTCCTTTTTCAGTTTCTTTCATCTCACTTTCATGGAAAGTATTCGCCAATTTCGAATTCAACATTTTAATGTAATTTTCTCCGAAAACAAAGAACGCTAATATATTTGAGAATAAAACTTTCAAAAGTTTTACTCGAGAGAGAAAGTTACTCTATTTTTCACAACTCAAGTTTTTCATTATTCTCAACATTTCTCTATCTTTCTCTATCTCTACCGAAAAAGTAGCTTTCGGGAAGTTTATCATATTCACACTTCTCAATCCATTTTTCCCCTTGCATTCCTCATTCATAAATGCCAAAGAAGCAATCGAGAATTACCATTGTATACACACTCCCCCACCATCATCACGACAAACACCTTTTACGCTCAACACACGTTCTCCTTTCAAAACCGTAACGTTTCAATTATATCGTCATCGCCACCACGAGCTTTACTCGCGCGACATTTATCCCTCAAAGCCAGGTTAAATGGAATTTCAACCCTGAACGTTCAACGTGCTCCAAGAAACCATTTTCTCGTTCCTGGTATCGTTGTTTCAAGACAATGTAGTCGAAACGAAATAACGAGACGGGGGATAAGGAGGAAAGCGAGACGACAGATTGACAAAAGGGCGAGGAGGAAGGGCGATCCTCGCGAGAGGAGGAAAGCTTCTGGAGTTGTGCATTAACTCGTTGGGCGATATTAGAGTTTGTACACAAAGGCATGGCCGGTGCAAATGGGCGATCAAAGGGGCAATGTTTCCAGTAGCACTTCATTAAACGGCGCAAGCGTGTTTTTCTTCAAACTTGTCCACTCCCTCCGCTTTGTCTCGACGAATATATCGTCGCTTTGAGAAACGACGCACAAGACTGAGTCGAAAACACGAGTCTCTCTCTCTCTCTCTTTCTTTCTTTTTTCTTTTTTCGGAAAATCGGAAAGAAACATTCGAGTTTCTGAAGTTTGAGAACGTTAATAAAAGCTCGTTTAGATGAGGTTGAATTTATCTCGAGTCGGCTGGATTCAAGTCAATTGAAATCGTTCTCATTTATGCGAACTCAGCAACGAGAAGTTAAGCAATTAGGATATTTGAAACGAAGGAAGGAAGAAGGTTGTGCTGTGTCTTATTCAATTCTTTTCCTCAGCTTGCTTATTTATTTATTGTTGCACGCGATTCTTCCATGTTTGGAGTTAGGAAAGAAATTTAATATTTCCCTTGAAATATTTGAAAGAATATTTCAGAATGAATAATTTAGATTTACACTTGAATTTCAATGATTTGAAACATTATATGAATCTATTATTATACATTTTATTTTATTTTCAAATATTTATTCTTCTTTCACTTCAAGTCAACCAAATCCAACAAGTTGTTCTTTCTTGATTCAAATTTATCAACGAAGATAATAATTCTCATAAAACACTGTCATAAAACACTTCAAGTACCTTTCTTCACTTCGTACAACATCTTGGAGGATAATTTGGAAAATAAATTTTTCCAAATTGTGGATAAGCAACGATTTGATTTATTGATCGTTGCGCAAACTCGTATCGTATTTTGCCAGAACTCCCACTTATTTTTTCGTCAATGGTTATTCTAAAAGTGGCAACGATTTCGTGTTTAAAAGGATTCGTTGATCGTTAGCGGGATGTTAGCCTTGGTCAATTTCACAGAGCAGCGTGTGTCCGCCTGTTTGTATATTGTTCTATTCTTGCCGAGTCTGCGCGTGCTATTTTACGATTCTCGTATACTCTTTTACGAATCTTTTTACAAATTATAATCATCTTCTATCTATATTTTCCATCTTTCATTCATCCACGTTTATTCTTCTTCTAGGTGGCAAAAAACTTAACTGAAAAACTGTACTGTAAATTTTCTTCTTCGCAAAAAAATTGCTCGAAATTTTCTCTTTCAAATTTTGTTCCTTGAATCGTTCTTCTTCTTTTTTTTTTTTTTTGATTCAATTCTCAAGAAAAAAAGAAGAACAAGAAAAATATTAACCATTCAATTCTTCTATCTTGAAAGTAAACGAGAAAAAATGATCCACATTTCTTTCACAAATATATATACATATATATTATTAACGAAAAAAAACTAAAATAAAAAAATCGCTTAATTTTCTGTATAAAACGAATAACGTCTTGCATCCGTGATCGTAATAGATCCGCCTCGATTTAATACCATTCGGTTGATCGAAAGCCGTCTAAATCGCGTGCACATTGGAGTATCGCGTTTCAACCGTGTGTCTGACCACAAATATTTGAATTACAGGAAACGGTGTGGTGAACGATATATCCATTGAAAGAAAGAAAGAAAGGAAAAAAGAAAAGAAAAGAAGGAGAACGCATCTGTAACGAGAAAGCGAGAGATCAAGCGTGTGAAGCTTTTCGTTTACTCGCCTCGTTTACGATCCAGAGACACAAGTGCGATCCTATTCGGAACTTATTTTCAAGGGGCTCGCGCTCAAGATCGAAAGTGCTTCACGAGGAGAGGTGATCTGTCGCGATTGCGCGAATTCCCTCCTTGTTCTTGGGCTTGGACACAGTGGAGAAAGTGGTCGAAGCCTGTGCATGGTCGGACATCGGATCGGCGATCGTCGAAGCCGATCTCGGCTTTCCCCGTTCCCGGAAAAGTGTTGAGTGGTTGAGG